AGTAACATCATCGCTGATTGGGCCTTCTTTCGCTCAGACGCGGTCATGTCTTTAACAAATTTGGGAGTGAAACAATCTCTCAGGAGCATTTGTCTCAATTCCTTATCCACAGCATCCTTTCCATCATAACCAAACTTCTTCAGTCCTTGATTGATGTAATACTGTTGTATGAAGTTCAGACCTTTGTCAGTATCGAACTTGGCCTTGATCTGCATCATGCAACAAGCGATCACAATGGCGTCGTGCTCTTCATAATCAGCTTTAATCTCATTCCCAATCTGTTGGAAACATAGATTGTGCTGTGCTTCAAGGATAGCTTTACTGTCCTTAGTACTGCGACTTCCTTCTTTGGTACAAAATTCAACGGTTTCAATTCTCTCTCTCAATGCTTGCGTCTTGTCGCAACTCGATTCTTGTTCTTATTGGCAGAACTGCCACTCCTGCTTGAAGGCCATTCTCTTGGTTCTTTGGAACTTGAGAAAGGTTCAGCCCAGACATTGCAGCTTGCGCATACGTTTGCCCGGATCGAGTGACTTTTGCTATTTGAGGCGTTTCAGGCTCAAATACAATCTCTTCTTCTGGTGGTTCTTGTAGGTCCTCCAGATCAGTAACAAGGCTCCCAATATCATCGGTTCCTCTATCGACATTTTCTTGATGGTGATCCAAATCGGCCACAGTAGGTTCTTCCTCTTCATTGCCTTCATCACCCAAATTGTCGTCTGATTCATGGTCATCATCTCTACGGAATCTGACAGTGAGTTCTGGCATATCATCAACATCATTCTCTGCATCTCCCAAGAGCTCTTCTCTTTCCGAGTCATCAATATCATTAAATTGTCCATGTAGGTTGAAATCACGTTCATCTTCATCTTCAGGTTCATAGTCCTGATCAAAGGCTTCTTCTAAGTAACCTTGTTCCATATCATCCACTCCTGCAATTTGATTGCCATCTTGAAATGTCTCCAAGTCTCTCTTCTTATCAAAGAACTTCATGGAAGTAACACCTTTGGCAGCAGCCCAAGCTTCAACACGCTGGATTACTTGATTGGTAACGGGTAGTACAACGACCTTGGGTCGGGAAATCATCTTCTTAGTATTGAGGTTGAGCACTCGGTGCCCAGTACATTGTCCCTTTGTAGGTTCAATGTAAATTGCTTTGATACTTCGGGGTTCCATTGAATTGCTGGAATCCGTCCCAATTGCATGAACATATTGTCCAAGTTCAGCAACCATGTCACTCTTGTAGTTGATATTGACATTATCAATGAGTTGCTGCGGACTGAAATGTGATGAGATACTGTCTTTCTGGGGAAAGACATTCAATAGCTTGGCGGCTCGACGTCCAAGACATTCAGTGATCACTTTTGGAACCACTTTGTAGGGTAATCGTGCAAGAGCTACTCTGACTCTTTCTTTCAACGTCCTATTGTTTCGCTCAGCGGTAGGCTCGTGGTCTCCAGCTGCAGTCGGGTCAATAGTAACACCCATATTGTCTAGCATATCATCCGTGAGAGGAATGAATGCCCGATCACACTTGATGATCTTGACTTGAAAGCCTGCCTTGTTGTAGCGGCGGAATATCTTATCCAATGCTTCAAATACAGGGTCAGTCTTCAGGTTCTGCACGGGAATACATGAGCAATAACGCACAGTGGTATCAATGCAGGTGAGAAACTTAGCATTCTCGATCTCCATGTGATCAATACAGACGGTAGTAGATCGATTGTGCGGATATAATTCCTCTGGTGGACTGAAGAAGTTGTTGTACATCTTCTTCGGAGTTGGTCTTGTTGACTTGCCTTTCAATGCAGAGGCAGTGCAACAATCCCATTCAGCTGTGGCCAAAGCGGCTCGGCAGCGGGGAACATGCAGATGATCCCCAAAGTCGCCGCAGCGTGGGCAAGCTGCTGATTTCTCCAGACCCCATAGAACTTTAAATTTGCCTGTGCCGCACACGCCCACACAATGTTTAGTAGACCACCTTTGTAGTCCTGCAGGAAGAGATCACATGGCGCGACCCAATGTGTCCCAGGCAATCTCGGACTTGGCTTCAGCGGAGATAGTACCTTTGTCCCTCCAGCGCAAGCGGAGGGCCGGAAGAGTCACACACTCTTGGATGAACTGGGGATTAAGGCGTGACTGTTTGGTGTCTGCCACGTACATTGCCGCAAGTTCAGTGAAGAAGCGAGGGTTGGGAGCTATAAGATGATTGGCTTACAGTACTCCACCGCCATTCCATCCACCTCAAGGTTCCGTTTCTCCCAGCAAGAAAGTTCATCAAAGAGATTGGACTTGTCGAGGTGACCATACACGTGCTGGGGCGCCCAATCCACTGGGGACCGAAGGAGAGCTTCCCAAATGGACGATACCAAGTCAAACTGGGCATCAGTTGGAGACAGTGGACGATCTTCAAAAGCCATCTCAATAGCAGAAAGGCCATCACAAGCAATCCGCACCTTGGGGCCAGTCAAAATGTTTGGGGACCATTGCTCAAGGAGCCAATCGACCGCCATTATACAGGCCAACAGACCAATGGGCTCGCTGCGGTATGGACTCTGGTCCTGGGGCAAACCGGGAGTCTGACACCGGATGATGATTCGATGGCATCCTCCATGCTTCACCAGGAGTTGAACCGCCGCAGTCCCCAATTCCTTCTTGAAGGATCCATCGCTGATCGCACACAGGCGACCGTCCAACAGAGCAGCAGCTAAGATGGCTTTGTCACCATGAACCTTGATGTCATCGGGGACCCACCCGTAATAGTCGGTACAGAGCTTGGCAGCCATTTGCCACGCGTGAAGGATGGATGGGCTGGAGGGAGAAGACGGTTCAGAGGCACGGCCAGTACCGGTGAGAAGAACCCTGTCAGATCCTGTGATGGAGCGAACCGTAGCACGAAGAGCGTCAGAAGGAAGCGGTGCAGTCCACCATGGGCAAGAAGGATGGGACGGCCCTGGTGCGTAGCGACGTGACGTGGTGGGGGAGCCCTCAGAGCAAAAGTGTTTCCAGGTTGCCCCATGGCGGTGGAAAAGACCTGTGGGGGTGATAGCAACCAATTCCAGTCCTCCAGACGGTCAGTCCATGGCCCCAAGGGCTGTTGTAGTGGGTGATGTGGCCCGTTGGAGGCAAGCAGGGCTCTGGACAAGGTGGTCTGCCACAGGTCCCAGTGTTGCCTTGTTGGGCAAACTGTTTGTGGCCATTGGTATGGCGAGCGGCAGCACTCATCCCTGAGCCCATTCCATGCAGAGCGACGAATAAACCTGCCATCAGCAGTCACAATGTCAGACATGGTGCATACCTGGAGGAACATTTGACACCAATTGACAGAAATAAATGAAAATAGACTATAAGCCTATAGTTGACTAGTTCCTACAAGTTGATCGATATCAATTCAAGTAAAAAGCATGCAGTGAGAAAAGCGATGATTCATCACTTTTCCACGCAAATCTCTAGAATTATCGCAGAACGCTGATGACTCAGCATTCTCTACGCTAAATTAATGGCGTGTAGTGGTTCGTGCACATGCAAAGCGTGCGACCTACAAGCTACACTTCAACCTGGGAATCCTATAGGTCGAGTCACAAGTCCCGTTCCTGTTAGAATTCTGTCACTCCCCAAATGGGGCAAAGTGAGGACCTAGTCCTCTTGATCAGCAGTATCTCCAGACCAGAACATTAGAGTTGGTAGAAGTGTCCAGATTTGCTGATGACCCCAATATTTGCTGAGAATATCAGCAGGGTTGAGAGCACTG